GAACGCGTCAAAAGTGTTCAGCCGCGTTAAGTGAACGCGCTTTCACCGCGTTCAAAACCTAAACGTGAAACACGCGTTCAATGAACCCACGCTAACACAGTTCTCCCCCAACCAACCAACCAACCAATCAACCAATCAATCAAGTAATCAATCAATCAATCAATCTTCAATCAATCAATCAATAATCAATCAATTAATCAATCAATCAATCAGTCTATTTTTATTTCTTTATTTTGTTTTTTTTTTCGTATTTCAATGTTTTTTATTTTTTTAAAATAAAAAAGACAAAAAAATAAAATAAAAAATATGGGTTCTAGACTCTAGAGCACGAAAAACTTTAGATCGCCACTTTTTATTTTTATTTTTTTACCTTTTTTTTTGCGGGGGTTTTGTCACTTTGTACGGGACCGACCGTACGGTCTTACGATAGAACCCCATACGACGTACGGGGGGCAAGACAGGGAGGAAGGACTCTGGATACATATTTCTGTGGTGGCGAGAGTATGCTCTCATTCACATTTGGATCCGGTGCTTTAGTTCTCCATTGGTGTAATATTGGTGCAATTATGCTTTCTGGACAGTGTTAGACCTTCTGGCTTTCAATGTGATTTTTGCAATCTGGAATCTGTCATTTCGCTATTGCTCAGTTTCCTTGCACTGCTGCTCTTTCAGAAAAAGAAAAAGGACACAGGAAAGCACACCGGCTAGCCTATCTAAGTTGATACAAGTTCATACAACTATGACCTGTTGAAAGACAAACCTCATTTCGAATTCTCAAGGAATCAAATGAATTTACCTGGGTCCGATCAGTCCTCTTGAGGCGCTTGTCCATAATGTACGGCTAGGGTATTTAAGTAGATTTTCGCCGGAAGGTTAGATTGTTTGTAGATAGTCTGTACCTTGAGTTTGTTGTCAGCTTGCCGTATTTTAGTTGCGCTGTAGCGTTCTTGTCCTTGCATTCCGAGCATTTTCCAGCATCCAGAATAGAAGTTAAATTGGTTGGTTGATTGATTGATTGATTGATTGATTGATTGATTGATTGATTGATTAGTGGGGGTGGGGTCGCCCCACCATCCCCAATAGGCCCACACACACACACGCAATATTGTATATTTCCATGTTCTAACGGAAGATTCATTCGATTTTTTTTTTTTTTTTTTTT